CTGAGGATCCCCCGGGCGCTGGTGCATCTTGCGCGAGGGCGGGCGCTGGCACCTCAAAGGGGGCGCGGGAGTGACGCGCTACCATTTCGACTCGACGGACGACGTGCCTCCCATCGGGCAGTGGCTGGTGACAACTGGGGTTGGCCACCCTGCCCCGTCGGTCTCCCACGTTGGGGAAGTCGTGCGGGACGACAGCGCGCGGACGCCCGTCGTCCACGAGCGCGTCGGCGGCCTGACCTACGCGGCGTCGGAAGCGCACGCGGTCGCGCGCGGCGGCCGGCTCCTGACGTTAGCGGAGGCGCGGCAGCACATGGGCGGCAAGGCGCTCTGCCCGGGCGACGACCAGTGGTGCGCGGTCGCGGGAAGAGACTGGGTCCAGATCGGCGACCGCCACCACCACCCGGGCAAGTCGCACGTCGTCGACTGCCACCACTACCCGCCCTGGGGCGACGACGCGAACAACGCGACCTACGGCCGGCCGACGTGGAACGCCTACGCGCTCTACGCGACGTCCGGCGGCGGCGGCGGTTTGGACGGCGCCTGGTTCTCCTTTAAGAACGGCGACGAGGCGAACGTCCACGACCGCTTCGAGGCGCGCGAGGCCGGCGGCCGCTTGTACCGCTTCACACGCGGCGGCGCGCCCCTCGACAACTATGCCATCGAGGGGGCGCAGTTGGTCGGCGGCGTCCCGTCCATCGGCACCGTGGTCCCGGCGGCGCTGTTCTTTTTGTACGACAATCTGCGGGCGACGGTGGCGCCCGGCGGCGACATCCTCTGGAGCCACGGCTACACGTCGCGGCGCGAGGGCGCGCCCGCGGCGGAGCGCACGGTCGGCGCGGTCGTCGCGTCGGAAGTCGCCCCGCCGCCCCAGGCGGCCCCGCCACTCGGCGTGGTCGTCCCGCCGGAAGGCGCCCTGCCGCTCGGCGTGGTCGTCGCGACGGCGGCGGTCATTCCCGGCGACGGCGTGATACGCGGTCACGTCTGCGCGCCGCCGGAGGCCGGGCCACTGCCGCTCGTGCAAACCTGCGATCTCCTCCGGCGCGAGCTCGGCTTAGCGGAGGGGTCGGTGCCCGACGTGCTCGCGCGCGCGTGCCAGCAGCTCGGGGTGGCGCCCGAAGGGACCCTTCTGGAGCGCGCGGCGCGGTGTCGCGCGGTCCTCGTCGGCGGCGCGTAAAACCACACATGCCGTTCAAAGACCGCCGAGGGCCAAGCATAAAGGCGCGCTGTCCTCGTCGCTGTCGTCGCGGCGCGTGCGGAGCCGCTCCCCCACGCCGCGGCCACTCCTGAGAGCGCTCCCGGGAAGTCTCCCGGGCGCCGCGGTCAGGGGAAACATCACATTCCTTGCAGACAAAATCCACATGTCTTTCTGCACAACGACTTTAGCTGGCAGCCCGACCTTGTGGGGAGCAACGCGCGCCTGGTCCCAGCCAGAGAGGCCGCGTCGCGCCCCGGGGCCATGCCTCTCAAGGAAGAGGACCCGCGGGTCGCCTATGTCGTCACGCACGCGACGTGCTCCTTCGGCGTCGAGCGCGGGAAGTTCATGAAGAGCTTCCTCACCGAGGACAACATGACGCGCGCGGCCGCGGCGCTGGCGATTTTTTTCCCCGACACGCCGGGGGCCCGGGGCGCGCGCGCGCCGACGCCCGACGGACGGACGCGAGCGGCGAACACGACGGCGGTCGCCGGACGAACGACGCCGGGGGGGGGGGACGCGGACGAAATCGCGCGCGACGCCGTCCGGTCGCAGGCCTCGAGACGTTCTTCGACGACGAGCACGCGATGTGCTTCGTGCTGTCGCCGAACTGCAAGATCGAGAGCGGCTTCCCGAGCAAGTTCAGCACCAAGGGCAAGTCCATGGTCTTCCTCAAGGCCAAGGCGTGCGTCGTCGGCCAGAAGGACGCGGCGAACGAGGCGCTCCTCACGATGGAGGTGCAGGGCAACTCGCCCTTCGAGCACCTGGAACTAATCTCGAGCGAGGTCTTCCTGCCCGTGCTGTCGAACCCGGGGAACCAGCTCAAGTGGGGCGAGGTCGCGACGCGCGAGATCATGGACCGCTTCGTCGCGTTTTTGTCGTCGACGACGATCCTCTGCGGCCACATCAAGGGCGAGACGCGGCTGCCCATGCCCCCGGACGAGCAGTCGAACTCGAACGTGAAGAACCGGATTTCGCTGCTGGAGGGCGCCGTGATCACGTGGACGAAGCAGATCAAGTCCGTGCTCAAGCAGGACCCGGAGAGCCAGCTCAAGCAGGGCAAGGATCCGACGCCGGACGTCGAGATCGAGTTCTGGAAGCACAAGGCGAACAACCTGAATTCCATCTTCGACCAGCTCCAGTCCCAGCGGATCCGGCGCGTGCTCCGGGCGTTGGATTTAGCGAAGTCGACGTACTGCACGACGTTCTCGCGGCTCTGCAAGGAGGTCTACACCGCGCGTTTGGAATCGAACGACAACATGAAGTACTTGAGGACGCTCGAGTTCTGGTTCGGCCGCCTCAACAGCGAGGACGACTTCCCGGGTTTGCAGGAGCTCTTCAAGCCCATGCTCCACATCATCTTGCTCATCTGGAAGAACTCGAAGCACTACAACACGCCCGCGCGCCTCGTCGTGCTCATGCGCGAGATCTGCAACAGTCTGATCAACCAGGCCTGCAAGTACGTCTCCGGCGAGCAGATCTTCCAGCGCATCGAGGCCGAGGAGGCCCAGCTCGCCGTCGACGAGCTCAAGACGACGCTCCACGTCTGCGGCGCCTTCAAGAGCACGTACAAGGAGTACCGGAAGACGGCCGACGCGGAGTGCCCGGCGAACCAGTGGCGCATCCAGAACAACGCGCTCTTCATGCGCCTGGACAGCTTTTTAGAGCGGTGCCACGACATTTTGGATCTGACGCAGACCATCGTCCAGTTCTCGAAACTCTCAAAAATCGAGGTCGGCGGCACGAAGGGCAAGACGCTGACGTCGTCCGTGCAGCAGATCCACCGGGACTTCATGTCCGCGGTGGAGAAGTTCAAGGCCGTGCCCTACGACATCATGGACGTGTCCGCGAAGAAGTTCGACGACGACTTTTATAATTTCCGCTGCGCCATCAAGGAGCTCGAGCGGCGGCTCGGCGCCGTCGTGTCGCTCGCGTTCGACGACTGCGCGACGGTCTACGGCCGCTTCAAACTCTTCGATAGCTTCGAGGGTTTGCTGGAACGGCCCATCATCCAGGACGAGCTCGAGAAGAAGTACGTGTCCCTGGTGCAGTCCTACGGCGTCGACCTGAAGACGGTCCAGGAACTATTTTTGCACTACCGCGACGCGCCGCCGATCAGCTCGAACCTGCCGCCCATCTCCGGGTCGCTGACCTGGTGCCGGGGCCTGCTGGAGCGCATCCGCATCCCCATGGAGAAGCTCATGCAGCTCGACAAGTCGATCCTCGAGCGCGAGGAGGCGAAGGAGGTCACGAAGGTCTACTCGACGATCAAGGCGTCGCTCGAGGAGTACGAGAACCAGAAGATCGAGGAGTGGGGCCGCGACGTCGAGGCGTCGTCCCAGGCGAAGCTCCGGCTGCCCCTCATCGTGCGCTCGCCGGACACGCACTTTTTGTCGGTGAACTTCGACCCCGCGCTCGTGCGGCTGCTCCGGGAGGTGAAATACTTTCTGCTGTTGGGTCTCGCCGTGCCGGACAGCGCGCTCCACATCTACCAGCAGGTCGAGACCTTCCGCACGTGGACGGCCCAGCTCGACATGGTCGTGAGCAAGCACAACACGGATTTGGCGCGGCTCCTGCCCGTCGAGAAGCCGCTGCTCCAGCCCTACCTCGACCGCTTCGACAAGGCCATCGAGGCCGGCCTGTCCCAGCTCAACTGGGAGACGGGGGGTCTAGAGCCCGAGATCGCCAAGCGGCGCGAGTTCATCGACGAGGCCATCTTGGCCGTGGAAACCGTCGACGAGATCACGTGCACGATGAAGGCCAACCTGGAAAAGGTGCAGACCATCATGGAGAAGTGGTCCGCCAAGCCCCTGATGGACCGCAAGGCCAAGCCCCAGGAACTGGAATACTTCGAGCGCGTCTTCAAGCAGTCCAAGGCCACGCGCTACGGCGAAATCAAGGAGGGCGGCAAGGAGATCGAGCGCATGCTCAAGGACACGAACAAGGTGCTCCGCGTGTCGAACGCGTCGCTGGACTGGCGCGCCTACATCGACTTCGTGAACAACATCGTCGTCGACGGCCTGGCGTCCGTGATCACGGTGTCGTTGGAGTACTTCCTGGACCAGATCGACCCCGTGACGATCGCGGAGCAGGCGGGCGCGCAGCTGCCCATGCTCGAGATCAAGCTCGACCTCGTCGACAAGGCGCCCAAGTTCGACCCCGTCATCGGCAGCGCCAACGGCAAGGGCATGCGCGACGTCGCCAACGCCTGGGTCGGCTCCTTCTTCCACGTCGCGACGCTCTTCAAGCGGTTGGACACGGACGGCACGTACATGCGCGAGATGCACACGGACGCGGACGTGTGTTTGCTCATGGCCGTCATCGAGGAGACGCAGCGGCGCAACGAGGACATGCTCATGGAGCTCCGGGAGCAGTTCAACGAGCTGTCGTTCCTCTGGGACACGGACCGCGACGTCTTTTTCAAGGAGTTCACCGAGGGCGCGATCATCGAGAAGGAGCACGCGACCTATTTAGATCTCAAAAAATACGACGAGGCCATCACGAAATATTTGGACGTGGCCGAGCGCGTGAAGCGGACGAAGAGCCCCGCGGACGTCGGCTGGCTCCGCGTGAACACGGCGCCGATCAAGACGTCGCTGCTGGAGCTCGCGGTCATGTGGAAGGAGCTCCACACGCAGTACCTGCGGGACCACCTGATCTCGACGCTGGACCGCTTCGACGGGTTCATGGAGCAGGTGAAGGTCGGCCTGGACCTGCCCGTGGACGACGGCGACCTCGGCAAGCAGAACCTGCGCAAGGTCATGAAGGACATCCTGGAGGTGGGCAAGGCCGAGGTCGTGACCATGGAGATGTTCGACCCGCTGCGCGAGCTCTGCACGCTGCTGAAGCACCACGCGTGCGACATCACGAACGAGGTGATCCCCTCCGTCGTCGAGCTGCGGCGGCGCGCGGAGATTTTGGAGGGCGACGCGTACAACCCGGAGCACACGCCCGACACGTCGGCGTCCAAGGCCGTGCTCGACTACCTCGAGGAGGCGCCCATCAACTGGGAGGCCATCGTGAAGATCAAATACGCGAAGAAGGACGAGATCGCGCCGATCAAGATGAAGGCCGAGGCCGCGCTCAAGGAGGAGCTCGAGCTCTTCTACACGGAGATGCGCGACTTCCGCGGCGACTTCCGCGCCAACGCGCCCTTCGCGCACCAGGGCTTCGCCGAGGAGGCCTACGCGATGATGGACGTCTACGCGAAGCGCCTGTCCGAGTTCGAGCAGTCCGCGAAGGAGTTCAACGCGCAGGAGGTGCGCGCCCCCCGCCGGCCCCGCCTCCCGTCGCGCGCGCCCCGCCGGCCCCGCCTCCCGTCGCGCGCGCCCCGCCGGCCCTGCCTCCCGTCACGCGCGCGCGCCCCAATCGCAGGAGCTCTTCGAATTGAACGTTTCAAAATACCCGGAATTGCCGACGACGCTGTCCGAGCTCAAGCTCCTGCGCGCGCCCGCGTCCATCGGCACGCGCAGAGACCCCGGCGCGCGCTCCCCACGCGCCGCCGCCATCGCGGGGCGGGCGCCCCGGATCATCGCCATGCGCGCGCGCGAAAGTTTCGCGTGGCCGCGACCCCCGGATATTTCGCTTCGGTTCGGCGGGCGAATTCGGGCGCCGGCAATGTCGCTCACGCGCTCGCCCCCCCCCGCAGGCGCGCGCTCTGGGATTTCAAAGCTATGGTGCAGTTCTCGTACACCGGGCACGCGCTCCCGCGTCCCGACGTACTTCGACACGAGTGCATTTTGAGAGTTTCGATCGACGGATTTATTCGGCGGCGGCACGGCCTGCGCTCTCCGGCGGCGGCGCGGTCCGGGCCGACGACGCCCGCCCGCCGGAGCCGTGCTTCGGCGCCGCGGTGTCGGACGAGGACGCCCGGGCGCGGCAGCGCGGCACGGTCTGCTCTCTCCGGCGGTGGCGCCGTCCGGGCCGGCGACGCCCGCCCGCCGGCGCCGTCCGCCCTCTGGCGCCGCGCCGCGGTGTCGGAGATGGCCGCCTCCTCGCTGGCCACGAGGGGCGCCGACACCACCTGCCGCCGTCCAAGGACGGCGGCGTCGCCGGCGCCCGCCGCCGACGACGGCCGCCTCCGGCGGCGAGCTGCCACGCCGCCGACGATCGGAACCGTCTCTCCCGAAACGCGTCGATACCCGAAACTCAACCCGTCTCGCGCGCAGGTGGAAGAAGGCGGCCTGGGCTGAGGTGGACACGGATAAGTTGGAAATGCAAAACAAGGTTTTGCTCAAGTCGCTGCGGTCGTCGGGCAACGTGGATCCGATCATCAAGCAGTGGCAGGTGTATCGCGATATCGAGGACGCGATCAAGAACATGCAAATCGTCTTGCCGCTCGTGAACGACCTCCACTCGGACGCGCTCGCGATGCGCCACTGGGCTTCCCTGGCCAAGGTCTGCGGCGTGGCCAAGGTGGATCCGACGCAAGACGACTTTAAATTGTACGTAGCCGCGTCCGGACGAGCCTACGAACCTTTGACAAACGCGCCCGCGCAGGCACGACATGATGAAGCTCAACCTGCATTTACATGTCGAGGAAGTGCAGGAAGTCGTCGAGACGGCGCAAAAGGAAAAGAAGATCGAGAAGAAGCTCGGCGATATTTCCGGCGCCTGGGCCGTCTTTGAACTCGAGCAAGCCGGGCGGGGCCGACGACGGGTGATTCTACGGCACTTCAATGTGTCGGGGCGTATTTTTTCCGGAACGCCTCGAGGGGGCGCCGCGCTCCGGACGAGAGGGCGCTCCGGGCGTGGCCGCCCCGGGCGGGGGCGTTTTGGATCCTCCGAGGCCGGCCCTTCGGGGCTCGGCCCCGAGAAGCCCCGCGCTCCGAGATTCGCCCGCTCGCCGCACGGCCACGGCTATGGCTCGACGGACCGGGGCGCGAGGCTCGGCGGGCCGGGGCGCGACGGGCCATGGCTCGGCGGGCTACGTCCGCCGAGCGGCGGGCGCGGCGACTGAAGGCCACGGGCGTTTGGAAACCTCCGAGTCTTGCAGCTAGAGGGTACTGCTTCGGCACTCCTTCGGGCTCGCCCTTCGGGGCTGCTCCGAGAAAACCCCGCGGTCCAAGATTCGCCCGCTCGCCGCGCGGCGACGGCGACGGCTCGACGGGCTCGCCGGGCCACGGCCTCGGCGGGCTATTACCCCGCCGGGCCACGGCCTCGCCGGGCCGCGTCGTCGCCGGGCCACGGCCTCGCCGGCCTCGCCGGGCCGCGTCGTCGCCGGGCCGCGTCGTCGCCGGGCCACGGCCTCGCCGGGCCGCGTCGTCGCCGTCGGGGCGATATGATCGGCAGCCGAGATGAGTGGACGACGACGCCGTCTCACCCTCGCTCCCGCCACAGGTACGTGAAGCACAAGGACACGGAGATGTCCATCATCAAGCTCAGCGAGGAGGTCATCGAGGCTTTGGACGCTCATATGTATGCTCTGTGCCGAATTCAACCACTGGTCTGGGTGGTCCTGACCAAACTTCAGAATTCTCTAGTTCGAAAGGTTCGACACAAGCTCTTCGGCTTTGCTTCGAGAACTCAACGAGAGCAATCGATTCGTCCAAAAATCAGCCGAATCGACTTCGATTTGACCGAGTACGCTCACATTGAAGTCGGGTTGAAGATTTGAATTCGACACAGGCTCGAGCTCCAGACCATGCTGGGCATGGGCAAGTTCGTCGAGTTCTTCCGCGCGGGCGTCGAGGACTGGCAGGTGAAGCTGTCGAACGTGCAGGTGACGATCAGCGTCCCTCGGCTGTGACGATTTCGAGAGATTTCGGGTGGGCCGTCGGCCCGCGGCGGCGGCCCGGGCGCGTCGCCGCGGCGGAGGCCGGCGGGGCCGCGTCGCGTCGGCCTCATGACCGACGTCGTCCCGGCGACGCTCCGGCCGGCAAGCCAGTCGCCTGGCGCGCCGGCCGTCGCCGGGAGACGGTCCGAGGCCGGCTACCCCCGCGGGACGCCGACGGCGGGGCCGTGGCGCGCGTCGCGTCGCGGGACGCCGACGGCGGGGCCGCGGCGCGCGTCGCGTCGCGGGACGCCGGCGGCGGCACGGCGCGCGTCGCGGCGCGCGCGGAGGACGGCGAGGCCTACGCGGCCGCGCGCGCGGCCTTTTGGGGCGACGCGCTCGCGAAAACGACGAACAATGGTCACCGATGTGCTTGGTAGGTGACAATCAAGGTCTGGGAGTCCGTGAGCCGGTCCTGGGCGTCGCTCGAGTCCATCTTCCTCAGCAGCGCGGACATCCGCAGCTCCCTCGCGGACGTGACCAAGGTCTTCGAGGGCATCGACGCGGAGTTCAAGGAGATGATGAAGGAGGCCGTCACGGAGCCGAACGTCATCCAGGCGTGCACCGTCGACGGCCGCGAGGCGTCGCTCTCCGCCATGAAGAAGGGCCTCGACAAGTGCCAGAAGTCGCTCAACGAATATTTGGACGTCAAGAAGGCCATCTTTCCCCGGTTTTATTTCGTGTCCGCGGTCGCGCTGCTCGACATGCTCGCGAACGGCACGAACCCGCGGAAGATCATGCCCTACCTCGGCGACTGCTACGACGCCCTGGCGAACCTGCTCTTCGTCAAGAACGAGGACGGCACGGAGAGCTCGTCCAAGGCGAACGTCATGATCGCCAAGGACCGGGAGCAGATCAAGATGCACGAGGAGTTCTCCATGGAGGGCGAGGTCGAGGTCTACCTCAACAAGCTCACGGCGGCCATGCAGCTCACGTTGCGGAACCAGCTCCTGCGGGGCATCGAGGACGGCGTCAACTGGGACGTGGACCCGAACCTGCCGCGGCACAAGTGGTGCTTCAAGTACCCGGCGCAGGTCGTGTTGACGGGGAGCCTCATCTACTGGACGGAGGAGACGGAGCAGAGCTTGGAGGAATTGGAGGCGGGCAAGGAGGACGCCGTGAAGATCGTCTCCCAGAACGTCAAGGACCGCCTCTCGAAGCTCATTTTGCTGGTGCTGGGCGAGCTCACGGGCGAGGAGCGGTGCAAGACGATCACGCTCATCACCATGGACGTGCACGGCCGCGACGTGCTCCAGTCGCTCATCGACACGAAGACGGAGGGCCCGTCGGCGTTCCTGTGGCAGCAGCAGCTGCGCTTCTACTGGGAGCACGACGTCATGGACGTGAACATCAAGATCTGCGACTTCCGGACGAAGTACTTCTACGAGTGGACGGGCAACGTCGGGCGCTTGGTGATTACCGCATTGACGGACCGCTGCTACATCACGCTGACCATGGGCCTGCGCCTCTTCCTCGGCGGCGCGCCCGCGGGGCCCGCGGGCACGGGCAAGACGGAGACGACGAAGGATCTCGCGCGCGCGCTCGCGCTGCCCTGCTACGTCTTCAACTGCAGCGACCAGATGAACTACCAGTCCATGGCCGACATCTTCCGGGGTTTAGCCCAGACGGGCGCCTGGGGCTGCTTCGACGAGTTCAACCGCATCTCCATCGAGGTGCTGTCCGTCGTCGCGACGCAGGTGAAAACCGTCCAGGACGCCATCGTCAAGTTCGCCGTGCCGAGCCGCCGCGACGCCGAGTACCAGAATTTAGCCGCGGGCACGCCGCCCCAGAAGGTCGGCAAGTTCGACTTCTTCGGCACGATCATCGATTTGATCCCGACGTGCGGCTTCTACATCACGATGAACCCGGGCTACGCGGGCCGCACGGAGCTGCCCGAGAACTTGAAGGCGCTGTTCCGCTCCTGCGCCATGATCCGGCCCGATTTGAAACCTATCTGCGAGAACATGCTCATGTCCGAGGGCTTCCAGTCCGCGCAGACGCTCGCGATCAAGTTCGTCACGCTCTACGCGCTCTCCGGCGAGCTATTATCGAAGCAGGCCCACTACGACTGGGGCCTGCGGGCCGTCAAGTCCGTGCTCCGGGTGGCGGGCAAGCTGAAGCGCGGCGAGCCCCACCTCGACGAGGGCCAGATCCTGATGCGCGCGCTCCGCGACTTCAACACGCCCAAGATCCCCGCGCTCGACACGCCCATCTTTTTACGGTTAATCGCCGACCTGTTCATGGGCCTCGAGGTGCCCGTCAAGGTCGACGAGACGCTCAAGGTGAAGATCAACACGGTCGCCGCGGCCGCGGGGCTCCAGGCGGACGACGTCTTCATCCTGAAGACGTGCCAGTTCCAGGAGCTGCTCGACGTGCGCCACTCCGTCATGCTCCTGGGCCCCGCGGGCTGCGGCAAGACGACGATCTGGAAGACGCTCATGGGCACGCACAATCTGGAGAAGCCCAAGAAGACGTGCGTCTACGAGGCCGTGAACCCGAAGGCCGTGTCCGGCGACGAGCTCTACGGCTACATGACGCTATCGAAGGACTGGAAGGACGGCGTGCTGTCCATCATCATGCGCGGCATGGCCAAGAACTTCCAGGACCAGGGCTTCTACGACTACCAGACCTACAAGTGGGTCGTGCTCGACGGCGACATCGACGCGGTCTGGATCGAGTCCATGAACACGGTCATGGACGACAACAAGGTGCTCACCTTGGTCTCCAACGAGCGCGTGCCCCTCTCCGACGCCATGCGCATGGTCTTCGAGATCAACTCGCTCAAGAACGCGACGCCCGCGACGGTGTCGCGCGCGGGCATCTTGTACGTCAACGAGACCGACATCGGCTGGCGGCCCTTCGTCGAGACCTGGCTCGCGCGCAAGGAGAAGGCGGGCTTCCCCCAGCTCGACGCCCAGAACCTCCAGGGCTTCTTCGACAAGTACGTCGACGCGACCATCGCGATGACGCGCAAGGGCTTTAAAGAATGCACGCCCATCCGCCTCATGAACAAGGTGAACACGCTCGTGTACTTATTAGAGGCCCAGCTCGACGCCGTCGCCGCCGGCGAGCTGACGCCGGAGAAGATGGAGGCCGTCTTCGTCTTTTGCCACGTCTGGGCGTTCGGGGGCGCGATGGTCATCGACAAGCAGACGGACTTCCGGAAGCGGTTCAGCGACGAGTTCCTGGCCCAGTTCCCCGCCGTGCGCTACCCCAAGGAGGGCGACGTTTTTGATTATTACTTCGACCCCGCGACGGACTCGCACCTCCACTGGCGCGACTCGCTCGAAAAGTACGCGCCGGAGCCCATCGGCACGGGCCCGGGCGAGACGCCCTTCATGGCGCTCAACGTGGAGACCGTGGACTCGAAGCGCACGAAGTACCTCATCGACGTGCTCGCGCGGGGCGCGCACAACGTCATGCTCGTCGGCACCGCGGGCACGGGCAAGACGGCGACGATCGACAAGTACCTGAGCGGCCTCGACAAGGACGCGGACGGCATCCTGTCCTACAACATCGTCATGTCCTACTACACGGACAGCGCCAAGCTCCAGGTGGACCTGGAGCTGCCCATCGACAAGCGCGCGGGCCGCATGTTCGGCCCCCCCGCGACGAAGCGGCTCATCTACTTCATCGACGATCTCAATTTACCGTACCTCGAGACGTACGGCACGCAGAACTCGATCGCGCTCCTGACGCAGCAGATGCAGCACGGCACGATCTTCGACCGCGCCGATTTGGGGTTCCGCAAGGAGATCGTCGACGTCCAGTTCATCACGGCGATGAACCCGACGGCGGGCTCGTTCGAGATCTGCGAGCGGTGCCAGATCCACTTCGCGACGTTCTCCTGCTCCATGCCGTCGACCGACGACCTCCAGACCATCTACGAGCAGATCTTCTCCGGCCACCTGTCGTCCTTCGAGAGCGGCGCCGCGGGATCGTCGGCCGCGATCGTCACCGCGGCGATCAAGTTCGTCGACAAGGTCGCGACGAAGTTCCTCCCGACGTCCATCCGTTTTACCTACTTCTGGACCATGCGCGAGATGTCGAACATCTTCCAGAACGTGTGCCTCGCCAAGCCCCAGTACTACGGCACCGCGACGGACGTCACGAAGCTCTGGGCGCACGAGTGCCGCCGGGTGATGTCCGACCGTTTAGTGACAACAGAAGAAGTCCAGGTCATGAACGACATGATCGCCGAGGTCTTCAAGGGCGAGCTGAAGGCCCTGGGCGTCGCCGAGGACGTGTTGCTGGAGGAGCCCGTGCCCTGCATCTTCACGACGTTCACCGCGAAGGAGCCCGACGGCGCGTACCGGCCCATCGAGTCCATGGAGCAGCTCAAGCACGTGCTGGACGCGAAGCTGATCGAGTACAACGAGTCCAACGCCATGATGGACCTCGTGCTCTTCGACGACGCCATGCGCCACATCTCGCGCATCGCGCGCATCATCGCCAACCCGGCGGGCAACGCGATGCTCATCGGCGTCGGCGGCAGCGGCAAGCAGTCCCTGTCGAAGCTCGCGGCGTTCATCTGCGGCTACGAGACGCGGCAGCTCGCCGTTACCGGTGCTTATTCCGTGGCGGACCTGAAGGAGGACATCAAGAACTTTTACACGCTGACGTGCGCCAAGGACACGCCGACGGTTTTTCTATTGACGGACACGCAGATCGTCACTCGCTCCGGAACGAGATGAAGGCGAACGCGCCGCTGCTCAACCCCGACGACCCGGACGACAGCAAGGCTTATCTCATTCAGAAGTTCCGCCAGCGCTTTAAATTGGTGCTGGCCTTCTCGCCCGTCGGCGACGTCTTTAGGATTCGCGCGCGCCGCTTCCCGGGTTTGATCAACTGCACGGCCATCGACTTCTTCCACCCCTGGCCCCACCAGGCGCTCGTGTCCGTGGCGAACCGCTTTTTAGCCGACATCGAGTTCGACCCGCCGGAGCTCATGGGCAAGCTCGCGCTCCACATGGCCAAGGAGCACCTCACCGTGACGACGGCGTCGGAGAACTACAAGAAGACGCAGCGGCGCTACAACTACGTGACGCCCAAGTCCTTTTTGGAATTGATCGGCTTCTACAAGTACATCTTCCAGGAGAAGCGCACGGAGGTCCAGCGCCAGATCGACCGGTTGGACGTGGGCCTGTCGACGCTGAAGAAGACGTCCGCGGACGTCGACGAGCTCCAGATCGACCTGAAGCGGACGATGGTCACCGTCGAGGAGAAGAAGCTCGCGACGGACGAGCTGCTCAAGGAGATGGGCGTGAGTCGCGCGGCGGCGGAGAAGGAGAAGGAGCTGGCGAACGTCGAGAAGGAGAAGGCGACGGCCGCGTCCGACTCCGCGCTCGAGATCAAGACGTCCGCCGAGGGCGAGCTCGCGGAGGCGGAGCCGGCCATGCGCGCGGCCGCCGACGCCGTCGAGTGCCTCGACAAGTCCATGCTCACGGAGCTGAAATCGCTGCCGAAGCCGCCGGCGGGCGTCGAGAAGGTCACGGCCGCGTGCCTCATTTTGCTGGAGCACGAGTACCGGAACATGCTCAAGTGGGACCGCGCGAAGAAGATGATGGCCAACGTCGACCAGTTCAAGAACTCGCTCAAGGCCTACGACGGCCGCACGATCCCCGAGGACGAGGTCAAGAAGGTCGAGGTCTTCACGCTCGACCCGGACTTCACGCCCGACAACATGCGAAGTAAGTCCGCGGCCGCGGCGAACTTGTGCACCTGGGTCGTCAACATCTACGGGTTCAACCGCATCTACGTCAAGGTGAAGCCTTTGATGGACGCCCTCGAGGCCGCGAACGAGTCCAAGGCCGCGGCGGACAGCGCGCTCGCGACGGCCGAGGGCAAGGTCGCGGCCGTCGAGGCGGAGCTCCAGAAGCTCCAGGACAAGTTCGAGGCGGCGACGGAGGAGAAGGCCGCCGTCGAGGCCCAGGCCGAGGCGTGCCTCGACCGTTTAGGACTGGCGGAGCGTCTCGTGAGCGGCCTCTCGTCCGAGAACACGCGGTGGGGCAACGAGATCGAGCACCTCAAGCACTCGACGACGGCGCTCGTCGGCGACTGCATGATCGCCGCGGGCTTCGTCAGCTACGTCGGCGCCTTCGACCAGGCGAACCGCGAGGAGCTCTGGCAGAACGTCTGGTTGACGGATTTGCGGGAGCAGGCCGTGCCCATGTCCGAGACCATCGACCCTTTGAGCATCCTCATCACGGAGAGCGACACGTCCCGCATGGTGTCCCAGGGCCTGCCCGAGGACCGCATCTCCATCGAGAACGGCGCCATCATCCTCATGTGCAAGCGGTGGCCCCTGATCATCGACCCGCAGGTCCAGGGCATCAAGTGGCTCAAGTCCAAGCAGGAGAAGGACGGCTACGTGCCCTGCCTCATGACCCAGAAGAACTGGATCCGGTCCATGCGCACGGGCATCTCCGACGGCATGGCCGTCATCATCGAGAATCTGGGCGAGGACATCGACGCGACGCTCGACCCCGTGCTCTCGCGCGCGATCTACAAGAAGGGCTCGTCGCTCTACATCAAGTTCGGCGGCGAGGAGATCTCCTACGACCCGGCGTTCACGCTCTACATGCAGACGAAGCTCGCGAACCCGCACTACAAGCCCGAGATCGCCGCGCAGTGCACACTCATCAACTTCATCGCGACGGAGCGCGGCTTGGAGGACCAATTGTTGGCCAAGGTCGTCGGCGTCGAGCGCCCGGACCTGGAGGAAGAGACCCAGCGGCTCACGGACGAGGCCTGCAAGTTCAAGCTCCAGCTCCACGAGCTCGAGAACGACCTGCTCGAGCGCCTCGCGAACGCGCCCGACGACATCCTCAGCGACGTGCCCCTCATCGAAGGTTTAGAATCTACAAAAAAGACGTCCAAGGAGATCGAGACGGCGCTGGAGGCGGGCAAGAAGGCGCGCGACTCCATCAACATCGCGCGCGAGGTCTACCGCAAGGAGGCGTCCGAGGGCGCGATGCTCTACTTCCTGCTCACGAAGCTCTGCGCCATCGACCACATGTACCAGTACTCGCTGGACTCTTTTGTTACTTTTTTCCTCAAGTCCATCTCCAAGGCCGTGCCCGCGGAGAAGGTGGAAGATAGAGTGAACAATTTGGTGACGTCGCTCCGGCTCACGATCTACACGTGGGTCGCGCGGGGCCTCTTCGAGCGCCACAAGCTCATCTTCCTGTCGACGCTGACCTTCAACCTGATGAAGCGGGGCACGCTCGGCGAGGACAATTTGGTGGACGAGATCCAGTTCCAGTTCCTGCTGCGGGGCCCGCGGAAGACGGGCGAGGAGAACCCGCTGATCGCGTGGCTGCCGACGTCCGCGTGGGACTCGTGCCAGGCGCTGGCGGAGCTCGAGGAGTTCGGCAAGCTGCCCAGCGATTTAGTAGAAGCAGCCCCGCGCTTCCGCGAGTGGTACAACCACATCTCGCCCGAGTCCGAGAAGCTGCCGCTCGACTGGGCGCAGCTGGACCGGCCGGACAAGGCGTTCCGGAAGATGCTGGTGGTCAGGTCGCTGCGGCCGGACCGCATGATCGCGTCGCTGTCGCGGTTCATCCGGGGCACGCTGCCCGGGGGCAACGGCTACGTGGACTGCGACAACTCGCTGAATTCCGTGGAGATTTTGCGGCAGTCGTTCGCGGACTCGACGCCGCAGACGCCCATCTACTTCATCCTCTCGCCCGGCGCGAACGTCGTCGCGGATTTAGACGTGATCGCGTTGGAGAACGGCTTCGAGGCGGGCACGTCCTACTTCAACGTGTCCATGGGCCAGGGCCAGGACAAGATCGCGATGTCGTACCTGGAGTCCGCGCACCGGAACGGGTCCTGGGTCATCCTGAACAACATCCATTTGATGCCGCGGTGGTTGTTGGAGCTGGAGAAGAAGCTGGATTCCTTCGGCGACGCGTCGCACCAGAATTTCCGGCTGTTCCTGTCCAGCGACCCGTCGAAGGGCATCCCCATCGGCGTCCTGAACCGGTGCATCAAGCTCACGAACGAGCCGCCGGGGGGGCTCAAGGCGAACCTGAAGCGCGCCTTCTGCTTCTTCTCCCGCGAGGCCTTCGAGGAGATGGACTCGAAGACGAAGTCTATTCTTTTTGGTTTGTGCCATTTCCACGCGGTCATGATGGAGCGGAAGATGTACGGGCCCATGGGCTTCAACATGATGTACCCGTTCGCCATCGGCGACCTGCGGGACTCCGCCGTGATCCTGTCGAACTACATGGAGAACAGCGGCGGCGGCAAGATCCCCTGGCAGGACCTCAAGTACCTCTTCGGCGAGATCATGTACGGCGGCCACATCGTCAACGACTTCGACCGGCTGCTCTGCGGCACGTACCTCGACTTCTTCATGAAGGACGAGCTCCTGGACGAGGCGGAGATGTACCCCTACGCCGAGGACGAGAAGGGCACGTCGTTCATGTGCCCCGCGCCGACGTCGTACGAGAAGTATTTGGAGCACATCGACGTCACGCTGACGACGGACACGCCCGTGGCCTTCGGGCTGCACCCCAACGCGGAGATCGATTTTAGGACGACCCAGTCCGAGGTCATGTTCCGCACGCTCGTCGAGCTCCAGCCGCGGACGGCCGGCGGCGACTCGGAGGGCGCGATGTCGCCGACGGAGATGGCGAACGCGAAGCTCGACGACATCATGGACCGCTTCGGCGAGAAGCGCTTCGATGTGGACGACCTGAGCGCGTCGCTGGACGAGAAGGGGCCCTACCAGAACGTGTTCCTCCAGGAGATGGAGGTCATGAACAAGTTATTGGGCGAGATCGTCCGATCCTTGAAGGAGCTCGCGCTCGGCTTCAAGGGCGAGCTCACGATGTCCGACGCCATGGAGGCCGTCATGAACTCGCTCTACATGGACACGGTGCCCGGCAAGTGGGTCAAGTTCAGTTGGCCGTCGCGGAAGGCGCTGAGCGGCTGGCTCACGAACTTCATGGCGCGGCTCACGCAATTGGAGGACTGGAGCAACAACCCCGCGGAGATCCCCAAGTGCACCTTCCTCTCTTATCTGGTCAACCCCCAGTCCTTCCTCACGGCCGTGAACCAGGTCGCGGCGCAGAAGAACCAGTGGGAGCTCGACAAGTTGGTGTCGTTCTCCGACGTGACGCGCTACGCGACGTTCGACAAGGTCGAGGCCGTGAGCCGCGAGGGCGCCTACATCGGGGGCCTCAACATGCAGGGCGCGCGCTGGGACGTGTCCAACGCCGTCATCGACCGCTCCAAGCCCAAGGAGATGTTCTGCGCGATGCCCGTCATGTCCGTCAAGGGCCTCGCCGTCGATAAGGCCGACTTCACGGGCATGTACAACTGCCCCGTCTACAAGACGGAGCAGCGCGGGCCCACCTTCGTCTACTGCGCCAACCTCCGCACGAAGAGCCCCTTCGGCCGCTGGGTCCTCGCGGGCGTCGCGCTCATCCTCGAGCTGACGACCTAGGGGCCGCCGCGCCGCGATCTTCCCGTTCGCGCCCGGCCCCCGTCGTAAGGTGGCTTCTCCATTTTAGCGCAGGTCGAAGGGGCTCGGCGACCGGGCCGACTCCCGCCGGAGGTCGTAGGGCGGCGACTCGCTCCGGGGCAACATCGCGTCCCAGAGGCCGCAGCACGCCGCGGGCGCGCCGCGGCGCCGCGGCGGCGCGCCGCCGCCGCCGCCGTGGGCGCGCCAGGGCGCCTGGCACGGCGAGGACGTCAGGCTCCGGTCGCGCGAGTTCCGGGACCACATGGGCGACTCGAAATCCCTCGCTTCGGCGCGGTTCGACCGCAGGCTGTCGAAGAGGTCCCGGAGCCGCTCGAAGGACGCGGCCGCGCGCGACATGGACCGCGGCACGGCCGCGCGCGCCGCCAGCGCCTGCCGCAGGCCCAGGACCTCGTGCTCGAGCCGCGCCTTGTCGCGCGCGAGCCGCGCGTGGTCCGCCTCGAGCACCGCGCGGCTCGCGGCCGACGCCGCGGCGAGCGCGTCGCCGACGGCGCCGGCGCCGCACTGCCGCTCGGCGTCGGCCGCCGCGGCGCGCGCCTCGACGCCGTCGCGGAACGCGTAGACGACGTCCCGCGAGCCGGCGACGTCCGCGACGAGGCGGTCGCAGAACTCGGAGACGATCGCGAGGAAGCCCGGCAGCGCCGGCTGCGGCGACTTGCGCGCCGCGCCGTCGAGCGCGCGGCTCCGGCCCTCGGGCGACCGCCCGAGCGAGCTCTCGGGCGTCCGCGAGCGCCGCGACGCGTCGAGACCGCCGCGGAGCGAGTCGTCGAGGGACCGCGAGTCGACGGCCGGCGAGTGCTCGAGGGACCGCGGCCGGAAGCGCGCGCCGCTCCGCGACCCGTCGAGCGACTCGGTCTCGCGCGGCTCGACGACCGTGACGCGCCGGCCGGAGTTGCTCCCGTCGAGGGACCGCGTGTCCCGCGGCGGCGTCGACAGCGCCGCGGCGCGCTCCGGCGTCATGTTTGCCGCGGTCTTGGGGTGTTGTTGCGCTCCGCGACTCGTCCCGAACCTCTTGGGCTGTTGTTGCGCTCCGCGACTCGTCCCGAACCTGCGTCGACGTCGGCGCACACTGCGGCAAGGCACTCTGAAACAGTGTGTCCAGCCTGGCTCGATTCGCGCAATCTTCAAGGAGGGCAACATTGGCGCGGCCGCTTTATCGTGCTGCTGAGGCCCGCACAAGGAGCCAACGCTGCCCGGGCCCGCCCGGAAGCCGTCGGGCCATGGCCGTGGGTCCGGCCGTCGCCGACGACGAGGGCTCCGTGGGGTCCGATGCGTCGCGCGGGCGGAAGAAGGGCGGCACGCCCAAGCCGGCGCCGGGCGGCAAGCGGAACACGGTCGCCGGGGGCCGCGAGTCGCGCGCGTCGACGTCGGCGTCGAAGAAGGCGCGGGGCACGATGCGGCGGGCGACGCGCAAGGTGACGATGATGGCGGGCATGGCCAAGAAGGACGGCGACGCCGGCGGCGACGACGACGAAGCGGCGAAGAAGAAGAAGAAGGCGTCCGCGCGGAAGCGGGCGTCGACGCGCGCGCCGTACCGCAAGCCCAAGGACGGCGAGTGGGTCGAGGTCTGGTACGACCTGCGGCGCAAGCAGGACGCCCTCGGCCAGCGCTGGCAGCGCTGGCCGCGCAACGAGCCCGGACGGCGCGCGACGCTCTTCGGGAGCACGCTCTATTCCACGAAACGGGACCACCTCGCGTCCAACGGCTTCTACGCGCACCGCACGACGCACTGCCTCGGCGACCCCGGCGACCCCATCCCGCCCGAGTGGCTCATGATCCGCCCGAGCCGCTACGAGGAGATCATCATGCGCGCGACGGTCGAGGAGAACTGGCTGCTGGAGATGATGGTCGAGCGCCAGCTCAAGAGCCTGTGCCGGAACCGCGGCGCGCTGACCATCTTCCACCGCTTCGACGAGGACGGGTCCGGGGAGCTGGACGGGAGCGAGTTCCGGTCCATGCTCAAGTCCGTCGGCGAGGAGGTCGACGACAAGAAGGTCGAGTGGCCGCCGGGGCGGGAACACGGAGCGACGCGCCCGACTTCAAAGGGCTCCGCTCTCGGCCGCGTTCGACTCGTTTCGGCCGATTTGTGGACGAGCGATCATCCCTCGGGGCGGTCTCGACGCGTGGATGCCTTTTTCCGGAACGCGCGCGCGCGGCACGCGCACGCGGCACGCGCACGTCGAAGCGGCGTCGCATCTCCCTCGTCCCGCCCAGGTGGCTGCTGGGCGTGCTCGACAAGGACGGCGGCGGGTCCGTCGACTTCGCCGAGTTCGCCAAGTTCGTCGGGCGGCCGGACCGCGTCGGCGTGTCCTGCACCTACGAGGACCACAAGCTGCACCTGCTGGACCCTGTGTGGAATTCAACCACTGGTTTGGGTGGTCCTGACCAAACTTCAGAATTCTCTAGCTCGATCAAATCGAAGTCGATTCGGCTGATTTTTGGACGAATCGATTGCTCTCGTCGAGTTCTCGAAGCACAGCCGAAGAAATTGCGTCGAAACTGTCGCATACGCTCACATTGAAGTCGGGTTGAGGATTTGAATTCCACACAGGCTGGACCTAAAAGAAGCGCTGCTGCGGCTCTACGACCCGAAGCGCATCGCGCCCAAGTTCCACCCGCTCTACACGCTACGCAACCTCGCGAAGCGCGAGTCGCTCAAGTTCGAGCCCTGCATCCGCAAGCATTTGAATTTTTTGTGGAAGAAGATCGACACGGACCTGAGCGGGCGCATCGAGCCCGAGGAGTACGTCGTCATGCACTTCCAGATCTGCACGGTCATGCTCGAGCTCGCGTCGTTGCCCGAGAAGCTCGCGCCCGGCGGCAAGATCGACGTCAAGGAGCACCGGAAGCTCGCGTTGGAGGACTGGGAGATCGACCACCAGGGCATGGGGTTTTTGGACTACGGCCGCTTCGCGTCCTGCTGGTTCCAGATCGCGGACCAGTTCACGGAGAAGATCTCGCTCGACGAGTACGACTCCTTCCTGGGGACGATCATCTCCAAGCTCTACCCGCCGCCCGCGGAGGAGGCGAGCCTCGACGAGGCCGCGGGCGCGCGGCCCGAGACCGCCGCGGAGATCGCGGAGCGCGAGGCCCAGGAGGAGGAGGACCGGCGGGCCGAGGAGGCCGCGGAGGAGGAGCGGCTGCGCAACGAGGAGCTGGAGCGCATCGCCGCGGAGGAGCGCGCGATGCACCGGCGCGCGACGACGCTCCAGACGTTGTACCGCGTTTCCTTGGCCAAAGAAAAACTCAAAATGAAGCGGCTCGAGGCGGAGTTGTTGCGGCGGTCGCTGCCGACGTGCGACCTGACCGAGCTCGACCTCATGATCGACGAGGACGCGATCCTGCACCCGGCGACGTTCCTGCCGGCCTTCTCCTTTCCCATGATACGGGACCCGACGCCCGAGGTCAGCGACGCCGAGAGCGAGGTGGCGGAGGTCGAAGAGGAGGAGGCGGCGGCGGAGGTGGAGGAGGAGGTCGCGGCGGAGGCGGAGGCGACGGGCCCGTCGGAGGCCGACGTCGCGCGGATGAAGCAGCGCCTCGAGGGCATGCGGCTCAAGCGCGCGATGAAGCGCGTGTCCACGGTCATCTTCAAGAACCTCATATTACCAAGCCGCATGCGCGGCGACGGCGAACAGCGCGGCGCCTACTCCGGGCCGCGCGCGTCGCGGTTCACGGGCGGCGGCTGGTCCGACGTGTCCAGCGACACGGACTACGGCTCCGAGGACGAGACCATGCCCGTGAAGCCGCGCCAGCTGCCCTGCGTGAACTGCCGCGGCGTCGTCGCCTGCGCGTGCGAGACGGACAAGTTCCGCGCGCACCACAAGGTCGTCCTCGAGCGGCGGCGCCGCGCGTCCTTCGACGACGCGGACCCCTTCGGCTTCCCGAGGCCCCGCGCAGGGCAGGAAAAGGGTGCGAAATTCCCAACTTCAAAGGCTCATATCTCGGTCGTTTCCCACTCGCTTTGGCTGATATTTGGACGAGTGATCATCTCTCGGAACGGCCTCGAACGTGAACGTCTTTCTTTGGAACGCGCGCGCGCGAAATACCCACGTTGAAGCGACGTTGAATCACCCTTTTCCTGCCCAGGCCCCGCGACGGCGCGCCGGGCATCACGGCGGAGCGCATCGCCGAGCTGGTCGAGGACCGCGCGGCGCTCGAGCACTACCACAGCCGGAACAACGAGGCGACGCAGCAGTTCGCGTCGCGGCTGCGCAGCCTCGAGTCGCGGAACCGCCTCGAGCGCTTCGAGGCGTCCCAGAGCGGCCGGCCCAAGAAGACCAACCGCGGGGCCGTGCTCATGAAGCGCGACGGCGGCGCGCGGGCCCCGCGGCCGTCCGGGACGCGCGACGTCGACGGAAAAGCGCGGCACCGCCTCAGCGGGCAGGCCACCCGCGCGAATTCGCCGGTCCCGGGCCCGCCGCCGCGCCGGAAGCCGCGGCCGGGCGTCGCGAGCCGCGACGACGGCGGCGACGAGCCGCGCGACGAGCCGCCGCGGCGGAAGCCGCGGGCGAAGCCGCCGCCGCCCCGCATCGTCGGCGACGTCGTCCACTTCCAGGGGTCCATCGACTCGGCGTCCCTCGAGGACTCGCTGCCCTGGCAGCCGGACAACACGTCCATCGCCTGGGACTACGTCGAGGCCGTGCCCACGGAGCTCAAGGACGCGCTCAAGCTGCAGCAGGCGCGCGCGCGGTCCCGGGACAGCCGCGAGGCCCGCGCGGACCTGCCCGCGGCCGACGCGACCTCGAAGACCGACGACTCCCGCTTCCCGCGGACGCTCGCGCGGACGTCGTCCGCGTCCGCGGCGACGGCGACGCGCTGGGGCTCCATGGCCCGCGACGCGTCGTCGAACTCCCTGTTCTAACGGTCTCTTTCGCGGGGGTGCGGGGTCTGTTTTTCCGTCGACTGGGCGACGCGGCCTTGGCATCGCGCTCCCGAGCTCCCCCCCCCCGCCACATCTTCAACTTAAAAAATCATCCTTTGCTTGAAGACCACGCCGCCACATCGCATCGACGCACACTCTCATCTTGGCGTCACAGCCGTCAAGCAGCGCGATCCAGTGCCCGCATCTCGCTCGCGCGACTTCGAGAGACCGCCGGAGGGCCTCCGGGAACGCCCGGCGGCGTTGCAACCGCCCGCGACGCCGGTTGCGCGCGTCCGCGCCGCGGCGAACTCGGAGCGAGTTCTGAGAGCGTCACCGCCTGCCGGGTGCCGGCCGGCGCCCGGGACGTCCTCCCGGGCGCCGCAGCGGAGCGGCGGCGTCGGCCGCGGCCCGCCGCGGCCTCCGGCGGCGGCCGGCGCGCCGGCGGGGCGGCCGCATCGGGGGCGCGCGTTTCGGATCCGGGACTTTCCTTCGGCGCGCGCGCGTCGCGGCGGCCGGTCCGCCGGCGAGGCGGCCGCATCGGGCGCGCGTTTCGGATCCGGACCTATCATTCGGCGCGCGCACACATCGACGCTCGAACCCCCTAGGTCCAAGGACCCCTCGACTCACGATGCGGTACAAGAGCACGCGCGGCGGCGTGAAGGACTGCGGCTTCATCGAGGCCGTGCTCATGGGCCTCGCGCCCGACAAGGGCCTCCTCGTGCCGCACAGCATCCCGGAGGTGTCGGCGGCGACGCTCGAGCAGTGGAAGAAGCTGAGCTTCCCCGAGCTGTCGACGGAGATCATCTCGCTCTACATCGACCCGAAGGAGATCTCCAAGGCCGAGCTCGCGGAGCTCACGCGCAAGGCCTACTCGACGTTCCGGACCGACGAGGTCACGCCCGTCGCGCCGCTCGGCGGCGACTACAAGCTCCTCGAGCTCTTCCACGGCCCGACCTACGCCTTCAAGGACGTGGCGCTCCAGTTCCTCGGCTTCCTCTTCGAGCTCATCCTCCAGAAGGGCTACGCGAACGGCCGGCTCACGATCATCGGCGCGACGTCCGGCGACACGGGCAGCAGCGCCATCGAGGGCATCCGCGGCAAGAAGGGCGTCGACTGCTTCATCCTCTACCCGAACAACCGCACGTCGAAGATCCAGGAGGCGCAGATGTGCTCCGTGCCCGACGAGAACTGCCACGCCATCGCGCTCGAGGACGCGTTCTTCGACGACTGCCAGAAGATCGTCAAGACGCTCTTCGCGGACCAGGCCTTCCACAAGAAGCACTCGCTCGGCGCCGTCAACTCCATCAACTGGGCGCGCATCGTCGCGCAGATCGTCTACTACTTCTACGCGCAGCTCAAGTTCGACGAGCCCTGCCACTTCTCCGTGCCCACGGGCAACTTCGGCGACGTGCTCGCGGGCTGGTACGCGAAGCAGATGGGCTGCCCCTGCAAGAGTCTCGTGGTGGCGACGAACGCGAACGACATCCTCGCGCGCTTCTTCGCCACGGGCACGTACTCGAAGCCGCCGTCCGTCGTCGAGACGGTGACGCCGTCGATGGACATCTCCGTGTCGTCCAACTTCGAGCGCTTCGTCTACCACTGCTGCGGCGACGACGACAAAATCCTCAAGGGCCTGATGGACACCTTCGAGGCCACGGGCGCGTTCACGGCGTCGCCGGAGCACTGGGAGAAGTGCAAGGCCGAGATGTACGCGGGCAGCTGCCAGCAGCCGCAGATCCTCGCGACGATCAAGAAGTGGCACGAGAAGACGGACTACGTCCTCGACCCCCACACGGCCGTCGGCGTCTACTGCGCCGAGCAGCTCAAGGCGACGCTCGGCCCCGGGCCCGTCGTCTGCCTCGCGTGCGCGCACCACGGCAAGTTCCCGACGTCCATCGAGAAGGCCATCGGCGCCGCGACGCTCGCGGAGGTGCCCGAGGAGAAGAACCTCACGGACCTCCTCGACCTCCCCAAGCGCAAGAACGTCCTCGTCAACTCCCTCGACGCCGTCGTCGACTTCGTCGAGGCCAAGGTCGGCGGCGGCAAGCCCGCGGCGAAGAAGGCGAAGAAGTAGGCGGCGGCCACCGAGAGGCCGCGGCGGCGCGCGAAGCGCCCCCGCGAAGCCCCCCGCCCGCCGACCGCCCGCCGACGCCCCTGCGTGCCCTACGCCCCCGAGCGCCGTCGCCGGGTCCCCTCGATAGAAGGGCCTCGTGACCTTCGCCAGACGCGGCTTCGCCGGCGCGCGGCGCCGGCCTCGTGATCTTCGCCAGACGCGAGCTCGAGAATTCCGAGGGCCGCCGGGCGGCGCCGCCGGCCTCGTCACTGGCACGGAAACTACGTATACGTATACGCGAGCGCTCCGAGTCGGACTTTTGGCGAGTCTGAGAACCCCGGCCGACGCACCGCGGAGCCGCGTAACGACCCTCTCGGACGGCGGCGCGGCGGCGTATGTGCGGCGATGGACGTCTAGCGGTACGCGGCGCCGGTCGTGGCGGCGCCGGAGCCGTCCGTCGCGGGCACCGCCGGATGCATCCCCGAGGCATCCCCGGCCAGCCGCCAAAGGTCGCCGCTGTCAAAAAACTTTGGCATCTCCTTGACTCGCAGAATCAAGCTTGCACACGCTCACCACACACTCACAGACCTCGCACATCAGCCCCAAACTCTCTCGTGGCCGCCCGGCGTCCCAATCGTGCCCCCCCAAAAAACTCCCCGACTTTACGACTCGTTTTCGCGACGCCCGAGTCAAGCCGTTCACCACGACCGCGATCGCGCCCGTTCCGCACACCGGGGGCGTCGCCCGCCGGGGCGCGGTCGTCGTCGCCCCGGGGAGCGCCGGAGAGCGCTTGGCTACATCGGCGAACCCGGGGGCCTCGCGGTTCCGCTCGTTCGCCGAACCGACTTCGATCTTCAGTCGAGAGAGCGCCGACGGCGGCCTGTTCTGGATGTTCGACAGCGCTCCCCAGTTCGACATACACAGAACGAACGGTTCATTATTCGGGATTCGGACAAATGATAATCGAGGGGGTTGAACGATGGTCGAACGATATCTGACGCTGCGTTCGGCATGTTCCGGGCCACTGTGGAAGAAACTGAGAGCACTTCGCCGTAGGAAGTCGGGGTTGGCGGTCTCGAAAAGTCACTCCATGTCGAACGAGAGGCAGCAGAAGTCGAACACGCCATGGTGGGCGCGTCGCGCGGCGCTGGGGGGCGGGGAACAGAGATCTCAGCTTCTGCGTGTTCCCCCACGAGACGGACTGAAGTTTCAGGATCTCCGACCCCGAGTTCCTACTGCGAACTACTCTCTTTTTCTTCCCCTGTGAACCATAATATGCCCAACGCAGCGTCAGAGATCGTTGGACCATGCTCAAAGCTAGGTACCTAGGCTTCAGTCCGACCAATGGGATCAGCGGATTGGATTCTTGGATAATACATATTTCGTTCTCTACATGGAGCAGTGCCTTCCGTGGCACGAGGACTTCGACGAATCTCCCCACTGCGAGCACTCCTTCGAACCTGTTCGACGGTGCCGCCGCCTTCGACGCGCCCATCGGCGACTGGGACGTGTCGGCGGTGACGAGCATGCGTAATACGTTCGCCTTCGCCGCCGCCTTCGACGCGTCCATCGGCGGCTGGGACGTGTCGAAGGTGACGGACATGCGCGACTTGTTCTACGGCGCCTCCACCTTCAACGCGGACATCGACGCCTGGCGCGTGTCGTCGGTGACGGACATGGATGGCATCTTCGACGGCGCCTCCGCCTTCGACCAGTGTCTTCGTTGGCACGAGGACTTCGACGCACCTCCCCACTGCGAGCTCTCCTTCGCGAACAAGGCCGAGCTCAAGGCCGCGGTCGGCGAGTGGATCGACGATTCGACGACGGCGGAGGCCAAGTACGGCCCCATCGAGGGCTGGGACGTGTCGGAGTTCACGGACCTCTGGTTCGCCGCTTGCTCTTCCGATACGGCTAAAAAGGAAGCAGGAGGCGGCTCCATCGCCATCATCATCCCGGTCGTCGTCGCGGCCGTCCTCCTCGTCGCCGCGGTCCTCTACCTCGCCCGCAAGCGCCGCGTCGCCCGGCTCCAGCCCCACCGCCAGTCATCGGTGCCGACGATCGGCGGCGAGGTCGAGGCCTGAGGAGTCGCGGCCGCCCCATCAAGCAAGCACGCGGGCGCGAGGTCGCCAGGGCCCCGCCCGCCCGGCGTCGAGGCCACGCCTCCGCCCCGAAGAAGTCGCAGCGCCTCCTTCCCCCACGCCTCCCGCCCGCCCTCCTCCCCCCAGCCCCGCTCCGACGCACGCCCCCAGTTGTACCCGCCACGCGCGACTAAGTTTGGGAGGCTCGATGGTGACGTGGACCAGCGTTTTTCGCGAGGCGCAAGTCGAGGCGCGTCGGCGCGACTCGGAGCCTGAGTCGCGCCTCGAGCTCGAGCGCTCCGAGACGCCGCGAACTCACTCATATTACGCGGCGCGTCATCGGACGTCGGCGTCGTTGGCGAGCGCGACGGCCGCGGCGAGCGCGGCGACGCCGAGGGCCGCGCCGGCGACCGTGTCGCTGAGCCAGTGGCTCTCCGTGAGGACGCGGCCCGCGGCCGTGGCCGCGCCGAGCGAGGCGACGCCGCCCGCCGCCGCCGGCGTCCAGCGCCACGGCGGACCCTCGGATGGGTCGTCGTCGCCGGCGAGGAGCGCCGGCGCGAGGACGCAGAGCAGCGCGCCGGCCATGTAGACCGCGGTGGCCGTGTGGAGCGACGGGAACGAGAAGGTCGCGTGGTGGATCTGGTCCGGCCGGACCCGCGCCGTCGCTGCCTTGACTACCTGCGCGAATCCCTGAACGCCGACGAAGTAGCCCGCGAGGAGCGCGCCGGCGGTCTTCGCGCCCGCGGCGCGCCGCCGCGCGACGAGCGCGGCGGCCGCGGCCGCCGTCGGCGCGCCGAGGCCCGGGCCGACGTTCGAGAGCGCCCGCCCGGTCTCGCTGAAGCGGCCGCAGGCGTCGGCCGCGCAGGCCGCGGCGCGCGCGGCGCCGTCGAGCGCCGGGTGCGCCGCGTGCAGGACCTGTGTGCAAATCAACCAGTGAGCTGGGACGTCGGGGCCAAGCTTGAGAATTCTCTAGCTCGGTCAAATCGAAGTCGATTCGGCTGATTTTTGGACGAATCGATTGCTCTCAGCGAGTTCTCGAAGCACGGCGGAAGAGCTTGTGTCAAAACATTCGAATACGCGCACATTGAAGTCGGGTTGAAGATTTGATTTGCACACCGTGCAGGGCCGTCACGTCGAGCGCGGTCGCGGCGAAGACCGCCGCGGCCGCGGCGCCGGCGGCGCGCGCGCGCCGCGCGGTGAGCTTCGCGTCGGACGCGGGCGCGGCGAGCGCGGCCGCGCGGCGCGCGAGCGCGAGCGCGACGAGCGCGGCGACGCGCATGGCCTGCGGGGAGCGGCGGTGTTTTCGGGGCGCGCGCGCGGCGGCGGGCGGGGCATTCCTCGGGTTGGAGGTCTCCTCGGGTCAAGTTTCAGCGTTGAGGGTATCTTCACGCGGATCAGTGGAAAGAAGGATCGTAATTTTCGTCAGGGGAGCCGGGGGTGCGGTGCGGCGATGGGACGCGGGTGCCTTGCCTCCGGGAGCGCTGCGTCGCGGCGCGGTGTTTCGTGGCGTGGACGGCGACGCAGGCGGGTGCCGCCAGCCCGACGCGGATGTTCTCCGCGTTTGTGGGCTGCCTCTGGGGAGTGACGCAGTCGTCGTCGGCCGCGGGCTCGGAGGCGGCGACGATCTGCCACAAGCCACTCGATGCTCCTCGCCGGGGGTCTCCTGGGCAGCGCATCTCAGAGTCGTCCGGCGTACTCGGACGCCCATGCGCAGCCCATATCCGCCTCTTCCATGGCCCGCCGCCCCCCGGTACCGTCTGCGACAACACAGGTAGTTAGCTCTCCTTCTGCCGCCGCTCCTTCTTGAGGATCTTCCGCGCCTTCTTCGCCTCCTTCTTCATCATCTTCTTCGCTCGCTTCTTCTCTTTCTTGCGCTGCTTCTTCGCGTCGGCGTCGTCGGCTTCCGCGGAGCTCGACCGCGCGGCGTCGCCGTCGCCGTCGCGGCCGTCGCGGCCGCCGTCGTCGCGGCCGCCGCCGGCGAGCGCGCGCGCCTTGCGCGCGCGCCACGCGGCGCGCTCCTCGAGCTGCGCGTCCGTCGCCCGTCGCGCCTCGTCGTCGCGCTCGTCGCGCCGCGCGCGAGTCGCGCGGGCGCCGTCGTCGCCGTCGCCGCCGTCGCCGTCGCCGTCGGAGTCGGACCGGTCGCGCTTGCGCTGGTTCCAGCACTGGCGCTCCTCGGTTCGTCTATTGTGCCCGTCGACGCTGCGGATCGTGTTCGCGAGGTAGGTCTTGTTGGCCGTCGTCAGCTCGCCGTCGAAGACGTCGCCGAGGCGCGACGCGGCGGCATCGACCTGGTCCCGGCGGTCGTCGTAGCGGCGCCGGTGGCCGCTCGCGCGCTCCAGCGCATCTTGCAGCTCAGACATGCGATTGTGGCGCGATGTTTGGCGCGTTCACCGCGTCTTCATCATCGCGCGCGCAGGGCTTCACCGACGCGGCATCATCAATGACACCGGTCATCCATCGTGAAGCAGGCGATGGCGCTCGCCTCGCGCGCCTGGCGCGTGGTCGTGCCGCGCGCCGGCGGCGCGCCGCTGAAGCTGGCGGCGGGCTTCGCGCCGCTCGCCGACGGGTCCTGCGTGGCGTCGCGCGGCGGCACGGTCGTCGCCGCGTCGGCGGTCTGGGAGGCCGCCGAGGCGCCCGGCGGCGGCGGCGGCGTGCCGCTGAGCGTCGAGTTCCGCCACGGGTCCGCCGCGAGCGGCCTCGTGCCGGCGACGTTCAACCGGCGCGACCCGCCGCGCGGCGGCGACGCCGAGGTGCTCGCCGCGCGCGTCGTCGACCGCGCGTTAAGACCCCAGATCGCCGGCGGCTACGAGCGGCTCCACGTCGAGGTGCGGGTGGAGTCGAGCGACGGGGTGCACGACCCCGTCGTCCTCGGCGCCAACGCGGCGTCGGCGGCGCTGGGCCTGAGCGGCGCGCGCTGGGCGGGGCCCGTCGGCGCGGTCCGCGTCGGCCGCGCGGGCCGGAGTTGGGCGGTCGACCCGGCGTGGGACGTCGTCGAGCTCGGCGGCGTCGACGTGCTCTGGGCCGGCGACGCCGCCGGCGGCGCGACCTGCGTCGAGGTCGGCGCGTCGGAGCTCGAGGAGGGGCGGCTCGCGGACGCGCTGGCGTTCGCGGCCGGCGAGGCCGCGGCCGTCGCGCGGGCCATCGCCGCGCTCGCGGCCGAGGCCGGGCGCGAAGCGCCGGCGGCGGCGACGGACCCGCTCGACGCCGCGGCCGCGGCCGCCGCGGCGCCCGAGGCCGAGCTTCTGGCCGCGGCCTTCTTCGCCGGTTGCGGCGGCGCGTCGAAGCGCGAGCGCGGCGCGGCGCAGGCCGCGGCGACGCGCGACGCCGTGGGCCGCGTGCTGGCGCGCCTCGGCCGCGACGACGCCGAGGGCGCCGCGCGCGCCGCCGTCGAGGCCGCCATGCGCGACGCGCTCGCGGCCGCGGCCGCCGCCGGCGGCCGCGCGGACGGCCGGAGACCCGGCGAGCTCCGGGCCCTGGACATGGCCTGCGCCGTGCTGCCGGCGCCCCACGGCAGCGCCGTCTTCGCGCGCGGCGAGACGCGCGTGCGCGCGACGGCGACGCTGGGGCCGCCGCCGGCGAAGCGCGCGCGGCGCCTCGACGATCTCGCGCGCGCGGCGTTCGCCGAGCACGCGCACTGGCGGCGGCCGGAGCCGCGGGACCGGGCCGCGCGCGTCCCCGGGGCGTTGGAGGCGCCGGAGCCGGCGGCGGGCGGCGCGCTGGCCTCGAGCTTCGCGCCGCGCGCGCCCGCGCGGCGCGCGGCGGCCGCGCGCGAGCCGCCGCGCGCGACGCTCGACCTCGCGGAGCGGCGCCTCGTCGTCCACTACGAGTTCCCGAGCTACGCGACGGGCGCCGGCGAGGCGCGCGCCGCGGCGAACCGGCGCGCCGTGGGCCACGGCGCGCTCGCGGAGCGCGCGCTCGCGCCCGTGTTCCCGTCCCGGTCGCGGTTCCCCTACGCGTGCCGCGTCGAGGCCGTGTGCCTCGCGTCGGCGGGGTCGTCGTCCATGGCCACGGTCGCCGCCGCGTCCCTGGCGCTCGCGGACGCGGGCGTGCCCCTCGCGCGCGACGTCGCGGGCGTGTCGGTGGGCCTCGCGCGGGACGGGGAACGTTCGACGCTGCTCCTGGACCTCAACGGCACGGAGGACCACTACGGGAGCATGGACCTCAAGGTCGCGGGCACGGCGCGGGGCGTCACGGCCGTGCAGCTCGACGTCAAGGGCGACCCCGTGGACGTCGCGACGCTCGCGGCGGGGTTGGACCTCGCGAGACGCGGCCGGAGCGAGATCCTCGAGGCCATGGCGTGCTGCCCCGACGACGTCGACGACGCCGACGCCGTGCATGGCGACGCGCCCTTCGTCGTGTCCGGGCCGCCGGAGGCGCCGGGCCTCTTCGCGAAGTTGTTCGGCGGCCGCGAGGACCCGCCGGCGAAGAAACCGCGGAAGCGGAAGCAGCTCCGGCCCCAGGCGCCGCGGGTCGCCGTCGTGACCTTCGCGCCGGCGCGCCTCGCCGAGCTGCTCGGGCCCCGGGGCGCGACGCTGCGGACGCTCGAGGCCGCGCACGGCGTGACCGTCGACGCGCGGTCCGTCGCCGGCGAGGCGACGATCGTCGCGCCGGGCCCCGCGGCGCTCCGCGGGGCGCTCGCGGACGTCGAGGACCTCGTCGCCGAGGTGCGGCCGGGCGACGCGCTGTCGGCGACGGTGGTCCAGGTCCGCGAGTACGGCGCGGTGCTCCGCGTGCTCCGGTCCCGCGAGGGCCTGCTCCACTCGTCGGAGTACCGCGGCGCGCCCGACGACCCGGAGGTGCTGAGCGTCGGCGACGTCGTCGACGTCACCTGCGTCGCCGTCGACCCCGTCCTCGGCCACGTCAAGCTGTCCCGGCGGCCCGGCAACCGCGGGCCGCGCGGCAAGCCGCCGCGCCGCGCGGCGCTCGCCAAGGGCGCCAAGCGGCACCGGAAGGGGGCCCCGCCTCGGTGATAAGGCGCGGGCGATATTGGGCGTTGGGGGGGCGGGGGTGTGCCGCGGCGCCGGATGAGTCCTCCCCAAAATGACCGAGGAGGCTCGAACTTACGGACCCAGAGGAATCTGGGAGTTTAGATGGTGCGGGATGCTCCTTAGAGGCATCGGGCCGGGTTGGCGTGGAAGTTGCTGAATTTTGGGGTGGGGACCCACAGACATGGGGCGAGCGGACGGCGCGCTGAGACAAAAAGAAGGGAGCGGTCAGATGATGAAGGTGCCGCCGGACGGCTTGGGCCGCTTCTGCGGCCGCGGGACGCGGCCGTAGCCGTCGTCGTCGTCGTCGGCGTGGGCCGCGTAGGCGTCCCAGGGCCGCGGGGGCGCCGGGTAGGGCCAGTAGTAGGGCGGCGGCCCCGCGAGCTGGTGCGGGAGGTGCGGGTGCTGGAGGTGCGGCGGGAGGGCCCCCGCGAGCTGCGCGTGGAGCAGCGCCGGGTCGTGGAGCAGCACGGGCGGCGGCGCGAGCGCCGGGTGCGCGAAGGGGTGGCCGTAGAGCGGCGGCGCGTAGCCGCGGCGCGGCGCCTTGCCGTAGGCGCCCGGCGGCGCGTGGAGCTCGGGCCGCGGGTAGCGCGCGCGCCGCGGGTCGTAGGTCACGCCCGGCACGACGAGCTCGCCCGACCTGTGCCGAAACCAAATCTTCAACCCGACTTCAATGTGAGCGTATTCGAATGTTTTGACACAAGCTCTTCGGCTGGGCTTCGAGAACTCGACGAGAGCGATCGATCCGTTCAAAAATCAGCCGAATCGACTTCGATTTGACCGAGCTAGAGAATTCTCAAGTTTGGTCAGGACCACCCAAACCAGTGGTTGGTTTCGGCACAGCGCCCGACGCGATGCGCTCCTGGACGCGCGCGAAGAGCGCCGCGAGCTCGGCGTGCGTCCGCTTGTTGAGCGCCTGCGCGGGAAGAGAACCGATGCCCCCCGAAGGACCGTTGCCCCCTGAAGAAACGGTGCCGCCCGACTTCGACGCGGCCACCAAAGTCGGGAACTCGGCGAGAGCGACCGAGCTCGAACCGAACGCGCGCCGGAACGACGTCGACGCGACCGAGCTCGAACCGAACGCGCGCCGGAACGACGTCGACGCGACCCGAAGCACCGACGAAGTTGCGGCCCGGCCCGCCGGGTCGGTTCCGGCGCCGGTCGCGCGCGTTGATGTCGGAGCGGCTCGGGTGGTCGCCCCGCGCGTCCGTGAGCCGCTCGCCGACGACGGGCGCGGCGCTGTTGGGCCGCCGGCGCTGCTTGCGCTCGCGGCGCGCGTCGAGCGCGGGCGAGTGGAGGCAGGAGAACTCGAGGTGCGCGCGGACGCGGCGGTAGGCCTCCTTGATGGGCGCGCAGCAGTTGATGCAGCGCCGCATCGTGATCTTGAGCTCGACGTCGATGCACGGCCGGCCGAGCGTCGCGTGGATCATGTTGAGGGCCAACAAGTCCTGCTGGCTAAAGGCCACGGACCGGCCCCAGTTGCCGCTCGACCCGCCGATCGTCGGCACCGTGCTTCCGCAGATGCAGCAGACGACGACGGACACCTTCGTGGCGGCGAGCTCCGGCGAGCCCTTCGCGGCGCCGGGGAGCCGCGGCGCGGCCGCCTCCGGGGCCGGGGGCAGCGGCGCCGGGGGCACCGGCGACGGGGGCGCCGACGCCGCCGGCCCGACGGGAAACGGCGCGAGCGCGGCCGGCGCGGTCGGCGGCGCCGCGGCCGCCGGCGGGACCTGGTCCATCGGCGGCGGCGCCACGACGGGCGCCGGCGGGACCTGGTCCATCGGCGCGACCACCGGCGGCGCCGCCGCGACCGGGAACGGCGCGATGATCGGCGGCGTCGGGAATGTCGACTCCTCTGGCATCGGGGCTGCCGGCGGCGGCGCCGGGACCGGGACCGGCGACGGAGACGCCTGGAGCGGCGAGGGAGCGACCGCCGCCGCCGCCGCCGGCGGGGGCTCGACCGGCAGCGGCGGGGCGAGCCCCGATGCTTCCCCGGTGCTTCCCAGGGCCATCACTGCGTATGATGTTGAGCCTCTAGAAATCCCGCAGCGTGAAGGGCATCCTGCCGTAGCTGCCCAACCGGCATGCAACCGGCAGCTATGCTGCGGCCTGCCGGGCGGGACAAGCCCGCGGAGCCGCGGTTCGTGAGCCGGCCGAAGACGTCGGTCCTGACGCTCGAGGCCGTCGAGGAGCGCCTGGGCCCCGAGCGGCGGCGCAAGCAGGGCCTGTCGAAGAGAGCGAAGCGCCTCGTCAACGAGTCGGCGGAGGAGAGCGCGGAGCAGTGGCTCCGGGTCCGCGGCGCCGTCGCCGCCGGCGGCGCGTTCAGCGTCGCCCAGCGGCGGAAGCTGCGCCGCTTCTTCGACGAGCTCGACGAGGACGGCAGCGGCCACATCTCCGTGGAGGAGCTGCTCGGTCCGCTGCTGGCGTTCGGTCTCGCGAGCTCCGAGGGCGACGTGTCGGCCTTCGTCGACGAGGTCGACGAGGACGCGTCGGGCCAGATCTGCTACCCCGAGTTCGTCCGGGCGCTCCAGGCCGCGGAGAAGAAGCGCGCGGCCGCGCGCGCGGCCGCGCGCGCCGCCGGCCCGCGGAGGCCCGTCGTCAAGCTGCGGAGCGACCCGGCGGGCGGGCTCCACGCGACGCGGTCCCTGCCGGCGCTCCAGGTCGTGCAGCGCGGCAAGGACGGCGCGCTGCTCCACGGGGACCCGCGCTTCAAGAAGCGCCAGATGTCCATGGCCGCCATGGGCATCGCGCGGCGGCGCCACAAGGAGAAGCGCCACGACGCGCACCCCCTCGAGCAGCTCCAGGCCGCCGGCGACGGCGCCCTCGAGCTCGACACGCTCATCTCCCTGCGGCGGCGCGAGCGGCTCATGGCGACCATCGAGTCGAGCCTGCCGACGACGGGCGACCTCGAGGGCATCCGCTGGGAGGAGCAGCGGCTGCGCCAGCGGCTCTTCGCCGGCGGCCACCACGACGAGGGCGCCGCGGGCGCCGCGGCGCGGGCCGCGGAGACGGAGAAGCTCGCGGCGCTCCAGGAGCAGCGGCGCGCGCTGCTCGACGTCGCGGGCGAGACGCGGCTGCTCATGGCGGCGCTCGAGAAGGCCGTCCGCTTCGACCAGGGCATGGAGCGGCTGCGGGAGCAGCCCGCGCGCGCGCGGGACGCGAACCGCCACAACTCCGTGCAGCTCGCGCCGCTCGCGAAGGCCGACTTCTCGCGCGAGGTCCTCGCGACGGGCGAGGCCGCGGTCCGGGCAGGAAAATGGTGATTCAACGTCGCTTCAACGTGAGTGTTCCGCGCGCGCGCGTTTCAAGAACAGCACCCACGCTTCGAGAGCGCTCCGAGAGATGATCGCTCGTCCAAAAATCAGCCGAAACGAGCGGAAAACGACCGAGATAGGAGCCTTTGAAGTTGGGAATGTCGCACCCTTTTGCTGCCCAGGCCGCGGTCCAGTGGCGCGAGCCGGCCGCGGCCGCGCGCGAGCCGCGGCCGGGGACCCTCGCCGACGACGACTTCGCGGCGACGTCCTCCTTCCTCCGGCGCCACGGCGTCCACACGCCCGCGGCGGAGCCCGCGCGGCGGCCGTCGCCCCTCCGCCGCTACATGTCCTCCACGGAGATCGACCGGCTCCTCGAGCCGGGCCTCGGACCCAACGACGACATCGCCGCCGCGGCGCGCGCGGACCGCACGGACAGCCGCGTCATGCGCCGCGCGTCGCGCCTCTTCCCCGCGGAGGACGCGGGGGGCTAAGGTTTTTGAGTGGTTTTTGCCCGGCGCAAGAATTTTTTTTTTGCCACATAAAATATTGAAGTGAATGACCTAGCGAACTTTGGCTCGCGGAGGTCATCTGTCCCTCCACCGCCGGCCGATACCGATCTGCCGCCTGGCCTTGTAAGGCGCCGGCGACACTCGAGGCGTCTCGCGCGGCCGCTCGGCGCGCTCTTCGGCCATGCTGACGTACGTCGCCGTCGTGGCGACGATGATCGTCGTGGACAGCAGCCTCGTCGCCCTCCTGCGGTTTCGGCCGCTCAAGGCCCTGGCCCTGCGGCGGCGCTTCGGCCCGCGGGACACGGCGGCCTTCGTCGGCGCCATCTGGCTGAGCTACGGCGTGACCATCCTGAGCGTCGTCTGGGGCCGGCCCCTGCGGTCCGGCTCGCCGGACTGGCTGACGACGTCCGCGGCCGCCGCGTACCTCGTCGTCGCCGCGGTCTCCGTGATCATGATCTTCATCTCGTGGACGCGGCGCGGGGGCCACGGCCTCGTGCCGACGCTGACCGTGAACTTGATCAGCGCGCTCACCTACGTGCTCAAGGCGACGATGGATTTGGCGCCCATCGAAGACGCGTTCGGGAGGCCCTTCGAGCCGCTGCGGTACGCGACGTGGTGGCACACGATGCCCTGCATGTGCGTGCTCTGCGGCCAGGTCTTCGCCGCCGACGTCGGGGAGACCCTGGAGATGATCTCCCTGGCGCTGGCCTGCATCGGCTGCGGCTGGGTCTGCTCCGACGTCAACTTCCTCCCCGCGCGCGGCGTCCCGAAGTACGGCGTCGTCGCGCTCATGTTCGGCGTCTCCGCGCGGGCGCTGGGTCTGCTGACGTCGCGGCTCCACGCGCGCCTCGTGCGCGACGGGTCGCCGGCCCTCGAGCAGCAGGAGGGGCCGCTGGCCGAGGCGGAGTCGTCGCAGGACCGGAGTCTGCGGAAGCTCGCGATGCTCATCGTCGTGTCCTGGTGGGCCTTCCCGTGCTTGTGGCTCGTCTGCGCGGCGTCGCGATCGGCGGGGCGCATGGACGAGGTCGTCTACGTGGCCGTGGAGCTCGTGGCCAAGGTGCTGTGCACGTTGGTGATGATGCACGGCTCCGTCGAGTCGTTCGAGGAGCGCGACCAGCGGCTGAGGGAGGTCGAGCACTGGCGGCTCCAGGAGCAGTTGCGGGCCGAGTCCATGTTCGTCAGCTACGTCTTCCACGAGATGCGCAACCCCTACAACGGCATCGCGGGCCACCTGTCGTGCATCGAGGAGACGCTCCGGGGCTGCGCGCGCGCGCTCGAGCGCGCGCCCGGACCGCGCGAGGGCGCCGAGGGCGCGGCGCTCGCGTCGCTCGCGCGGTCCGTGGCGAACATGGTCGACGACTGCGCGGCGGCGACGCTCTGCTCGCAGCACATGTCCGACGTCCTCAACAACGTGCTCGACCTCCGGCGCATCGAGGAGGGCGCGATGACCCTGGAGCCCGCGCCCTTCGACGTCGCGGCGCTCGTGCGCGACGCGAGCCGCATGGTCTGCCCGCGGGACAGCGTGCTCGTGCGCCAGTCGGCGAGCGAGGGCGGCCGCGAGCTCCGGGCGTGCCACTGCCGCGGCGACGCGCTGCGGCTCCGCCAGGTGCTCCTGAACCTGCTGGGCAACGCCTGCAAGCACACGGCGCGCGGGCGCGTCGAGGTCGTCGCGCGCGTGCTCACGGAGGCCGACGGCGTCGACGACGACGGCCGCCGCGCCGCGCGGCGCGCCGCGGCCGCGGCGCCGCGCGCGCGCGCGTTGCGGTTCGAGGTCCGCGACACGGGCCCGGGCATCGACGCGGCGCACCAGGACCGCGTCTTCGCCAAGTACTTCACGCTGGGCAACGAGTCGGCGCCGCGGGCCTACGCGCACGAGGCGTCGGACGCGTCGGACCGCGGCGCGGGGCCCTCCACGGGGCTGGGGCTCGTGGTGTCGAAGCACCTGGTGGAGCTCATGGGCTCGGACCTGCGGCTGACGTCGCCCTGGAACGGGTCGTCGCCGGGCACGCGCTTCCACTTCGACGTCGTCCTCGAGGCCGTCGCCGACGTGCCCCGGACGTCGTCGCAAAGCGCGCTGGACGCGCGCGCCGAGGGCGAGCGCGACGACGACGTCGCCACGGCGCTGCCCAAGACGCTGCGGTGCCTCGTCGCCGACGACCTCGCCTTCAACCGGAACCTGCTGAGCCGCTACCTCACGCGCATGCCGCCCTTCGACGCGCTGCGCTGGGACGTCGAGGAGTGCGCGACGGGCGAGGACATCCTGAGCCGCGTGCTCACGCACGGCGAGACCTACGACGTCTTCTTCGTCGACGAGCACTTCGACACGGCGGGGGGCGTGCTCAAGGGCTCCGAGGTCATCCGCCGCCTCAAGGCCGCGGGCCCGGCCGCGCCGTCGGGCGGCGAGCCCATCTTCGTGACGACGTCGGGCAACTGCCTCGCGGAGGACGTCGAGTTCTACAAGTCCTGCGGCGCCGACGACACCTTCTCCAAGCCCCTGCCCAACAAGTTCGAGCTCGGCCGCCGCCTGCTCAAGCTCCTCAAGCGCAAGCGCGGCGACGCGGACGGCGGCGGCGGCGCCGCGCCGGCGAAGCGGCCCCGCGTCGACGCGCCCGCGCCGGAGCCGCCGCGCCGGTCCGCGCGGAAGCGCGGCGCCGACGGCGGCGCCGGGCCCGCGGCGAACCTCCGCAAGCGCAAGTGACGCCCGCTCCTCGTCCGGTCCCTGCGCTCGCGATCCCCCTGCTTTCCCCTAATGTGCTGTTAGAGCGGCCGCGCCTCGACGGCGGCGAGGCGCTCGTGGATGGACAGGATGACGCCCTGCATCTTCGCGAGCTCCGCGCGGAGGTCCGCCTCGACGTCGCCGGGCACGCGCGGCGGCAGGGCCGCGTCGCCGCCGCCGCCGCCGAGCTCGTAGGAGCAGATGGCCTCCGTGTCCAGCGTGTAGCGGCCCCGGAGCTCGTCGAGGTCCGGGACGGTCGTCACGTACACTCGGCCGACGCGCGCCTGCGGGGGGCGTCGGCGACGAAGTTCGGCGGCGGAAAATGTCACCGGGCGCGGGCGGCGCGCGGTGCAGTGGACGCACTGGAGCGCCTGGTACGTGCTGCCGCGGTCCGCGGGCGCCGTCGAGGTCGTGATGTCGTCGCTCCGTTGCAGCGACGACACGCGGCTGAGGGTCAGGGCGCCGAGGCGCTCGTTCGTGGATTCGATGCTCAGCGAGTCGCCGACGATGGTGTTGCAGCTCCGGCACTGGAAGACCAAAGGCATCGACGGCTCGAGCGGCGCGACCGCCATCGTTTTGAGTTTTGCGAGAGCCTCGGGCCTGTTGCGGCAAATTGCAGCCATGTTGCAGGCAAGCAAGCCACGGCACGCATGACCCTCGAGGCGGCCCTCGCCGTCGCACTGCGGAGTTCGTGCCGCGGCGTCGTCCAGCTGGCGCACTGGAAGACGGGACGAGTCGAAGGCGCACGCGGCCGCGGCCGCGGTCGCGGCGGCGCCGCCGTCGCGGCGGCGCCGCCGTGTTAGCCGGGATCCGGCCGAAACTGGCTCCAACTGCCCACTGCGGCCGCCGCCGCGGAAGAACTGTCGCGAGCTCCGAGGGCTGCGCTTCGCGCCCCGCGTCAAACTCGACAGAATCGCGCTCCGAGATCGCCTTGAAGTCGCAGTAGCGTATGCGTCGTGCGTCGAACCGAGCCATGCTGCTGCTGCTCGTCGCGGGCGCGGCCGCGCTCCGGGCCCCGAGCGGGCTCCGCTGCCCGCGGTTCACCGGCGCGACGGTCCTGCGCTCGTCGACGACGGAGATCATGATGCCGGCCCTGAGTTCGACGATGACGAGCGGCCGCGTCGTGTCCTGGCTGAAGAACGTCGGCGACAAGATCGAGGCCGGCGATCCCATCATCGTCGTCGAGAGCGACAAGGCCGACATGGAGGTCGAGTCCTACGACGAGGGCGCGCGGCGGCGTCCGTCGCGCGAGACGCGCGCGCGCGCGACGGGGCGCCCGCCGAGTTTCACTGTACACCCGTAGGCTACCTCGCGGCGGTCTTCGTCGGCGAGGGCGAGGACGCCGACGTCGGCGTGCCCGTCGGCGTGCTCGCGGAGACGCCCGAGGAGGCCAAGGCCTTCTCCGGCGGCCCCTCGGGCGGCGGCGCCGCGGCCGCGGAGCCCGCGGCGCCCGCGGCGCCCGCGGCGCCCGCGGCGCCCGCGGGCGACGCGCCCGAGAGCGTCGCCGTCGCCAGCCCGCGCT